TCCATCCTCCATCCACCCTCCATCCTCTATCCTTCATCCTCCATCCACCATCCATCCTCCATCCTCTATCCTTCATCCTTCATTCTCCATTTATCCTCCATCCACCCTCCATCCATCCATCCATCCATCCATCCATCCATCCATCCATCCTCCATCCATCCTCCATCCTCCGTCCTTCATCCTCCATCCTCCATTTATCCTCCGTCCACCCTCCCTCCATCAATCCTCCATCCTCTATCCATCCACCATCCACCATCCACCACCCACCCATCCGTCTATCCACCCACCCTCGTCAACAGTTGCCATGTGATATGTACATTTAAAGGCACAGCTTCACATGCTGGTGCATTTTCTGTAACACATTGAGTACTCCTTAATTTCATGAGAGTAAGGGTCCCCTTTTGTGTCCTGGTGGCTGCAGCTTGAATGGGGGATCTGCCGCAGTGCACTCTGGGTGGAGGTGGGGTGTGGTATCTTAGGACGAGTCTGTGACAGCATGGGGGAGTGACTTATCTGCGTTCCCTCCTTGGGGCCTAGAGTCAGGCTCCTTTAGCATGTTTTATTGACAGGAAATTTGGGTAGGGGCTGCACCTTGCGGGGTAGGGAGTAGACACCAGCAGACTTATTTCTTTTTATGTAACGTTCCCCTGCTATTCGAGTATGTTCATTGTAGAACAATATTGAGGTGTCAGAAAAGTCATGACGTGTTTTTGTGACGAAAAACAGAGAAAAAATATGTCATGACTTTTCCTACAACCCAGTATCAACAGCCCAGCAACCCAACAGCCAAGGAAGGAGAGGAGTCGCATTACCCACTGCTAACATTTCATGTGTTATCTGCCAGCCCCCTTTCTAAACAAAGTTAGACGCTGTCTATCGTACATGTTTTACACCCGGCTGTTTCGCTTACGGTGTTTATATGAATATCTGTTGTATCAGTAAATTCCCTCTATGGCCTCGGCTTACACGCCGCTAAGAATCCTATCATGTGGGCGTATCCTACTTTATTTCTCTCTATTTCTCAGTCAGGCCGCTGCCAGATTTTTGAGCATCTGTAAATGGCTGCAGTGAACACATCTGGAACAAAATTGTCTCACACGCCCAGAGTGGAAACTCAGCACCGTCTTCAGTGACACCTTGCTAAGGACACATGCTGCCAGAGTGCCCCAGAGCCTGGGCTGGGTCACGGCTGCCTCCTAGAAACCTTCACGCTAACAAACCTGACAGACTGCTTCTTAGCCTTTCCTGGTTTGCTGGACCCTTTGAGTGGGTGCTGGGCAATGCTGTCTTTCTCCAGAATATTCTCATGGGCACCTCCACACAGGTTTGCAGCCAGTGTCCAGGCCAGCACAGCGCCCGGCCCTGGAGCCTGGCCCTGAGCCCTGCCACGGCAGACGAGTGGGGGACATGGAGGCTGCGGTTTCAGGGCTGGACCCCGGAGCTCCGGGATAGGGTGCTCCTGCAGGAGGGCTGTTCCGCTCTTGTCACTGCTCCTGCTGTCACGTCAGGCTGAGCCTGAGCAGCAGAATCTCCTGACCAGAGTTTGTGAGGCACTAAACTCCTGAGAGGCGTGAGAACGGGCGGATTGGCCACGGGGAGGCATGTCGGGGCAGTGAGGGCTTGCTTCCTTCAGTGGGACAAGGGGATGGTTCCCACCCACTTGCTGGTGGCCACGCTGGGTCATCCTGGCTCCCCCGGGACATAGCCTGCAGGCCGCCTGCCTGCCTCTCCATGCCTGGGCAGGATTTGACGCCCAAGCTTCGAGCCAGGCATAGGGTACTGCCCTGGCTTGGGGCCTGCGGGGGGCCAGCAGCACAGAGGCCTGTTGCTTGTCAGAGGAGGCAGCGCACTCCCAGTGGCCGTGGGCCTGGGAGTTCCCACTCTGGAGTCCTGAGCTTGCTGAGGTCCACGCTGGACACGGCTTTGCCCTGGACCCCACTCCAGACCACATGTCCTTTCCCCAGAAGCCCTTCCCGCCCACTCTGCATCCCACACGCCCTGCAGTGGCGCGGTGCTTGCGGGGTATCCCGAGATGGACGATGCCTTGACCGAGGCTGTGGCGCCCAACCCGACCCGCATATCTGAGCCATGTGTGTGTGTCTTTCTCTCCTTAAAAATAAATGCATATTCCCAGGCCCCACACACCTCACTCAGAGCCCCGGGGGGTGGGCCTGGGCATCTGCATTCTTCAGCTTCTCCTGTGAACGTGAGGAAGCTGATTGGCTGCTGGTGTCTGGATGAGAGCTGGGGTCAGCGTAGGCCATGGCTAGTGGGGACGGAGCCAGGACTGATCCCGACCCCAGACCCTGGACCTCAACCTCCCGCCCTCTGGGCTGTCACATCCTGGTTCCTTCAATGAGCATTAAAGGAACCGGTGATGTTAAACGTCATGGCGAGGCAGGGGGTGGACATGGAGGACCAGCACAGACAGTGTGGCTTGGGGCAGCGGGCCATGCCTATTGCTCTGCTCAACGGGGGTGGTCCTCTCGGGGGCAGGTCTGCTTGTGTTACCCGCCACCTGCCCCCTGCATCTGTTCCTGTGCTGGCCCAGGGCTGAGGCCCCATGGGCCCAGGCGAGAGCAGTGGACGCATCGCTGAGCCCAAAGGCCTGAGCTGGTTGCATGTGGAGGTGGGGGCAGGCGCGGGACGAAAGAGCGGGTGTTGTGTCTTCATTTCATTCGTTAACTGGGACGCAGATGAGACGTGGAGATAAAAGTGGGGAAAATGTCATCCTTTGACATTTACGTTTTCAGAAGGGTTGGCAGGGCTGTGGGGGGAGGTTTTAGATCATGTCCGAGAGGGATGCCTCTGGGGAAGCCCAGCCCTCTGTCCTAGGAGTGGGGCTTCCCTCCCCCTGCAGGGAGGTGCGCCCCATTCCCTGTCATTTTACAAGGGGCCACCGCTGCCCCTCAGCTCACTCCACGGCTGTCTCAGGGGTCCCATGTCTGTCTCCAGCAGTCCCTGCTCTGTCCTCAGGTCTCCGGAGTGGGGTTCCCTGTGGTTCCCAGGGTGCCAGCTAGGAGGCACGCAGCCCAGACAAAGTGAGGGTCAGGTACCTCTGGCAGAGCTGGGCAGGTTTAACCCTGTTTAAGGAGCTGCCCTGTCTGATGACAGGAACCCAGAGCTGAGCCCCGCACTAACTACTAGCGACAAATTCCAGCCTGGAGCAAAGCCGCCATGAGCCCAGAGCTGAGGCTGCTGTGGTCCTAGCAGCTGGAGAAGCCATTATGTCTGCTGGGACCATGGGCACGTGGCCACGTCGGAGGTGGCGTCTAGGCTCACTGCGGCAGCCCCTCCCTGTCTTGGGCGTGGCCACCTGTACGAAGCTCCGCCTTCGCATTTACTCCAGGTCGGAAGGCAGGCTTTGTCTCCTGTTCCATCGCTGACCAGTTGCTGGTGCCTTGGGCTGACTCTGCCGGAATGGTTCTCAGTCTGTGGAATGGTTCTCAGGCTGCGTCTGGCTTGTTGGGGGCAGGGGTGGGGGGTGGGGGGCAGAGTGGCAGTTGATTAGCAATGTCTGCTGTGGGAAGCATGGTGGAGGGGTGGCTTGTGTGCTCTGTAGCTCCCAAACCCTTCAAGCTCTAACGTTTCTAGTTTCTATCAAAGGACATACAGCAATATTGCTTTAATTTTTGTTCTCTGTAAATATTTAGAGCTCTTAAAAGCCAAGAATAACAGCCGAAGCCAAGTTGCTCCTTTTTTTTGTGAAAGACCCCTTATAACACACAGCCTGGGAGCCCGGCTGGGCCAGCTGCATAATAAACCAATTGAGTCTTGTCTGAGGAAACACAGACGAACCCTGTCATCCCTCAGCTTCACGGCTTCCGTGAGTCCCGACCCCTGAAATATAACCACCTACCGGAAGACAGCACACAGCACGCGGCTTGTTGGCCAAATGGGCCGTCTCGCGGGGCTGAGAAAGGGCCCTTCTGTACAGTTGGTCTTTTTTTTCTCCAATCCCTTTTAAAAATTGCTGCTAGAAGGAGAACAGCCTAAAAGGAAGTCTGAGGAATGTGTCCCAGCTGGGGGGCTTTGGGCAAGTGACCTAGCTTTCCTGCCTCCCAAATGTGTCAGGCCTTGCAGAGGCGTGAGGCCTTGCAGGACGAGGCCCACAGAAGACCCACTGGGCTGAGTTCCCGGGACAGCCGGCCCCCAGTGGGTGGGGTGGGGGAGCGTCTGTGATTTTAGCAAGTGGTCATCATGGGCCGTATTCATGTTCCCTTTCCCCAGTGCGCACACAAGCACACGTGTAATGCACACACTTCAGCCCTGGTGCACACATGAGCTCACGCTCACAGAAGCATGCACGAGCACACATGCATACACACAGAGGAACTCATGCATGATCACACAATGGAGTCTCAGAGTTCAGGCTTGCATCCGCGTCCTCGGTGTGTGATGTCTGGCATGGCAGGTGCCCCATAAATTCTGGAATGAATCGTGAGCAGCTTCCTGTTGTCCTCGTCGTCATCCTCTGCACTCCAGGGTCAGCCACCTCCCGCTCCCTGCCTCAGTTTCCCCGTGATCATCTGTGGGGCCTCATTCCTGCTTGCTGCCCGTTGTTTTGAGGATCTGTGGAATAACTGCCCTGGGGCTTTTGAGGCTGGGAAGTAGGTGGGTCCTGTGTGTCTGCAGGAAGCTGGCTGGACCCCAGGGCAGGGCCAGGGTGGGGCGGGCAGCCGAGGAAGGAGTGGCCCCTGCTCATGGCTGAGCACTTCAGAACTTTCCTTTTGACAAGTGTCAGCCTGGGGACCCTGCTTGACCCACTTACGCGGTGTGACCTGCCCCTCCGTACGTATGGGCGCACCAGAATGACAGCTTGTGCACGGTAAACACAAAACAGGTGCTGAGCCTAAACAGTGTTTCGCTGTATGTTTTTTCCCCCCAAGATGAAAAGTGTCAGCGAATAGTTCTCTGTGTCTACAGAACACTTCAGTACAGGTTTCTGATGACTTTCTGGTTTCTTGTGAAATGACAGAGGCGTCTTTCTGTCTCCGCAGGTCATCTCTGCGGTGTCGAGACTGTCCCTGCACAGTGTGGCCCAGAACAAAGGGATCAGGTAAGCCCTCGGAGCGCACGCACAGAGCGCCGGCCCAGCCATCGCCACGTGCCACCCCGTGCCTGGTCACGGACGTTGGGGTTTTCCGCAGATTTCCTCCACCTGTGTCTTTATCATGAATGTTCAGTGTGTTGTCAAGTTGCCTGTGGGTGGCAGCTGGAAGGGGTGGGCGTAGTGGAGAGCCTTCGGTTCACACCAGGGAAAACTCTCAAGTATGTTACTTGATGGCTGAAAAATCGCTTTCGATTTAGGTAATAAAATCAGCAAATTAATCCTTTCACAGATCATTGCCTACCTAAACGCACTCGCCACACATCAGAACTGGGAGGCTTGGCTGCGAACGAGGTAGCTGGTGTTTGTAATGACCGGGCCAGGGCGAGGGGACCTGCCTGCTTGGGGGCCGCACGGCTCTTGGCAGGAGTTTCTCCACTCTGTTTTCATTCTCCTTAGAATCCTGTGACCCCGGCCTGGCCCCTCACCTCTGACACCAGGATGGGGCACGTGGCCAGTGGGGGAGAGGGGAAGGCGGTCCCACATGAGAACTGGTCACTGTAGATTCTGACCCACAGATCAGGGCCTGGGAGACATCTGAATGGGGACCAGCTTCCAGATCGGGTGGGGACGAGCACAAGAACTGCCCTTTCGGATGGGAATGAGAAGCTTGGGAGGGTGGAAACAGCCCTGCCTGAGAGCAGGGGTGATTGGGGTTGCGCCTGGGTTTGGGGTGGTCGAGCTCCAGGAGGCAGCTTCACCCTGGTGTTGTCTGTCAGGGACGCTGCCTGCCCTTGATGGGGCTGTTTGCCCAGGTTCAGAGAGTCACCTGGACAGATGGAAATGTTAGTGCCGCCCCCCCGCACCCCCCCAACCTCCC